AGAGAGATTTTGGGTCGAACCCGAAACGGACCCGGATTTAAACGGGTCAACCCTAATCCGACCGAGTATACAAACGGGCGATTTATGGAACCCGAAATCGACCCCTCGGGTTGCCGGGTTGACCCGACCCGACATGGCAAGGCGAAAACACAGCGGACACGTAGCGACGAGCGGGGTGCGAGCGGGAGTGCGCAGGCGGTCCGGCGACGAGCGCAGTTGCGCGCGGGCGAGCCTGGGTGAGCATGGGCACGCGTAGCTCGGGTGCGAGCGGGTTCTGGGTAGGCGGGACAGCTTTGCGGGCAGGTGGGGCAGTGCAGGCAGCCATTTTTAAACGGGTTCGCATGTTGACTCGGCTACCCATCGGGTCAACCCGAACCCAACCCGTTTTTCAAATGGGTCAAAATCTGGAACACGAACCCGACCTGTTTTGAAATTGGGTCGGGTCAAAACCGAAATTTTCTGGTCGGGTTCGAGTCGGATTTTCGGGTCATGGGTCGGGTTTGGGTCGAACCCGGAACTGACGCGGGTTCAATCGGGTCGACCCTAACCCTACCCGAGAAGGCAAACGGGTCGAAATCCTGGACCCCAACCCGACCCGCTTCGGGTTCGAGTAAACCCAACACGACCCATTATCGCGGGCAACGGCGCGGGTTCGCGACTTCGCATGACGCGGTTGGTTCGGCTTCGGCGGTTCACAGCGTGACGCGGTGCGGCGGGAAGCGGCACAGCGGGCTAGCGAGCAGTTTCACGCGGGCAGCGGGCAGTTTCACGCGGCGACAAGCGGGAGCGCAGCGCGGGAAAGACGCGCGGCCAGGCGGGCTCGCGAAGCGATGCGCGGTCAGGCTCAGACTCCGCGCGGGCAGCTTCAGTCAGCCTAGGTCAGGGCGGGCAGCGGGTCATTACGGGCCATTTCTGATTTCCGGGTCAACCCGAACCCCTACTAATAAGATTATGTGTACATTTTTTATTTATACTAATAAGTATTGGTATATATTAGGAGAAGTCTGATATAAGATTATACGTGCAAACATGAGGGAAATCACAAGCTGAAAAATGTACATTTTAGCCTACGCTGAAGAGAATAGTCAATGTAGAATCTAAAGCCATCAATGCAAAAGAAGATTATTGAAGAACTGAGCACGCATACACCAGAATATAACTATGATAAAATAATTTTGAAAATCATTTAAGTAATTAAACAAGACAACTTAACTTTTAACAATCATAATGTGTACGATAATGTAATATTATCTTAACGTTGTTCATGACATTTTTGATAATTTTGAAAAATCAAGTTGTGTTGACTATGGGAAACTTCAAATTTTAAAATCTTAAATTAATAATAATGTACAATTGATCATCGTATTGCAGTTAAAAAGAATTGAATAACCGCCATATGCTCGTTTCCTTAATTAGGTCAACTCAAATTTTAAACAGATGGAACTCAAAATTAGATTTAGAGAAGAAGAAAATTAAATTTTATTTGAAAATTATTGATCTCATCCTTAAGCTAAATTAGTGTTTTATAAAAATAAAATAAAAAAATTGTATTTAAGTTTCAATATTATTTTTGAAGTTGTTGTTCTTACATTTAGGATTTAATCACATTTTTATTTTATATTAAAAAAGATTAATTAAACTACTTATGATTTTAGTTTATAATTCTAGCTATTATTTCTTCTTATTTGATAAAAATTGAAATATTTCTTAAATAAGGCTTTCCAACTCAAGTTAATGATGTTATGTCAAATTAAGAATAAGAACATCTTGAAGGGTATTCAATTACCTAACCCACTAATGTGTAAAACATTTCTTTTAAATTCAGGCAAGTTGAATATGCTATATAGCTATATAATAGACTATATATATATATTTATATTATATATATATATAAACTATAAAAAAGGAGGTACAACAATTGAAGAAAGGCCCACATAAAGAGAAGAGCCCCAAAAAAAAGCTACAGACCCCATAAAAGATGAAAAAAAAAAAACCCGAAAGAGGGCTCAGTAGATAACCGAGACTCTCAGCATCCTCGAATCCGCGCAAGGACCATCCAGTAGAGTGAAAATCACCAACGGTTGCCACAAGACAGCCGATGAGGAGACGAGCCCCAGCAACATCATAGCCCCGCAACCTCCAATCCAAAACGACGAGCAATCCGATCAACCGCAAAAAATAAGAAGATTACAAGAATATCTCTACTTGCGAAATTGATAAGAATATTTTGGAATAGATTATGTATTAATTATGAATGATTAATCAAGTTAAACAATCTAGCATTATATACTGTTGCATGATTATGAACTATTTTATATGTAGTCAATGGCAAACATCTTTGGCATGTACACATGCTTCATAAAAGTGATTGTATTTTCACATTCTTTAGGGAGAGAATTTTCAAATGATAAAAATTGAATAAAAGTTTAAGGTGTTTTGTAGAGTCTTGGGATGCCAATGTGATTGTAATTTTTAAATATAAATATTTATCTTCTTATTCTATTTACTATCTACTTAGCTCTTTAATATTTTATGATTAGAAAAATTTCTAGAGATAAGCATATACCGGTGATCGATAGAAGGAGAAAACATTCTACTAAAAATAGAATAGAGGGATAATATTAAGTCAAATTGTGTTTAAGATAAAGATATTGCCTTCATGATAAGAAAGTTCAATCCATTCTTGAAAAATAAAAAAATGAAAATTTATAATGACGAGAAGAAGGGGGAAAAAAGATAAAAAGAATATTATACATACCTCTGCTATCCTTTGCTTTGAATGTAACAAACTAAGGTATCTTAAATAAGATTGCTCAAGTCTCATGAACTAATAGTAGAAGGGCAAAGGTGAGGAGAAAGAAGAAAGTAGTAATATAAAAGGAAAATACATTGTACCTTCCATATCAATA